AGCCACAGGGGAGTACACTTGGCGCCATGCCATGGGAAGGTAAGGTTTTTAAAACCGACCTGGAGAACGAACTGGTCAGGGGTCTGGTTCCTGGGTCAAACGGTCTGATTGTTCGAACCGAATGGTCAACTTGTTATGACAAAAAATAAAAAAATTAATAAAAAACGGTCAAAACCGTTCAAACGATTAACTGCCCAAATCAGCAAATTAACAGTTTTTGGAAAAAATCCGATTTTGAAGAAAAATGGAACCAATCACCTAACCAGTTCCTGGTTTTTCTGGTCTGACCATCCAGTCCAGTCCAGTTTTGAAAACCATGTGGGATGGTGTAATTGTATTGAGAACAGATTTGATTGCTGCTAGCTAGCTGAAACACCAGTAGCAAAACAATATGCTGAAATGCTGTGATTGGCGCAGCATCTTAGGGGGGAATTTTGGTAATCAACATGTGTAGGTGTATTGACCCCACATGCCCTAAACATGCATTATCATGCATTATGCTTCAGCACAGTATATATATATATATATATGCTGCTAAAACTTCAACATATATAGCAGATCACATTGCTCAATTGTATTCTATTCCAGGGTGGAAGCCTAATTTCTTTTATGTAGTTATGGGCCTACCACTGTTAATCTATCTATACTTCTATACTATATAAAGCGATTAGATCTTACATCAGAAGCCCTCCCTTCTTCAATTCCCCCTTCTTTTTTTTTTTTCCTTAAACCTCTCTCCTTTCTCCCTTACCCCTTCCTAACCCTTTCATGTAGCCACGTGGCAGCCCTCTCTTCTTCATTAGATTTGCACTCCATCTTTCTCTCTCTCTCTCTCTCATGTTACCAATCGACTCAACCCTCTCCTAAAATTTTTCCTAAACAATCTCTCCCATCTAAAATTCCTCCTAAAACACCTCTTAATCTGTATTATAAACCATTTAAAAACAAAAAATGTGGGTAAATTAATTTGTGAAACATTTTTTATATTTTCAATAATTACTTATATTATTGAATATTGTTTAGTAAATATCAACACCTAAACTATAATTTTGGTAAATTGAAATATTTAATTACTAAGAAATACTTGCTGAAAATTACTGATTTTGGTAATTTAATTTCAGATTTTTTTTTGGAAATTAATTACTAAAATCAATAGTTACTAAAAAAACTAATAATTAATTAAAATATTAAGGAATACAAATTTAATAATTAAAAATTGTCAGTAATTTTAGCAATAAGTAGTTATTGATATTTTCAGTAATTTTGGTCAATTTGTTAATATTTAATGATATTATCAAACAATAATTGAAAATTTTCAGTAATTTTTTAGTGGAAAATTAATTTTAATAAATGTAAATTTATTTTTATATTTTCAGTAATTTTGATATTTACTATAATTTTTTAGCAATAATTAGTGATTTTGTTATTTTAGTGAAGCTTATATTATAAAACCTCCAAATTTTCAAATAAATAATTAGAAAACTTTAATTTCCATAAGTATTGGATACTACATTTATAACTACCATAATTTATGAAACTATATTTACGGGTTTGGGGGGGTGTTATGGGTTTAGGGGACGACCCCCAGGGTAGTAGGATGACAATGGGCAGGTCTGGGGTGGAGATCATACTCCCCATCCCGACCTCGAGTTTTAAATAAATCATTGTCAAAAATTTTAGCCAGCATCCCCGATCCTTGATAGAGAGGGCTTCCCCATCTAGGACCTGAATCCTTGAATTTTTTCATTAAAAGTTTATTTTTAGAAAGGTATTTATTTAAAATAAAGGAAAAATTAAAATGCAAATAATATTTTAAATATATTTTGATATATATAATATAAATAATATTATAAATAACATAAATAATATAATATATTTAATATATATACACATCAGAGGTGACAACCTTGCACCAAGGTTTTAAAAAGCTAAAGGCATAGGTAAGGCATAATGGCCAAAAAAAGGTGAGGCATAAGCCTTAAGGCATTGCATGGTGTAAGCCTCAAAGTTCAAGGAAAAGTTGGTTAAAGTTTGTAAATTGATAAAAATAGCATATAATATATCAAATTAAAATGATATAAGGTACACATATCGATAAACTAGGAGTTTATAAGCAATAAGTTTTGCCATTTAAGCATTAAATAAAGTAATAACTATTTGATCAACAATTATAAACATTTTGATTTCACGTACAAAACCCAATTTAGAAGAAAGGAAATATGTAAAGAATTACCCATATAATTGATATTAAATTTATGGTCATCCAATAGTTTAGAAGAAAGGAAACAACTTAGTTGATTTGATCTATGCAAATAATAATAATAATAATAATAATAATAATAATAATAATAATAATAATAATAATAATAATAATAATAATAATAATAATAATAAAAATAAATCTATTATTATTATTTTGGTTGTTGTTGTTATTATTATTAAAAAGAAAAAATGATCCATTAGGAGAAGAAATGAGAAAAATAACAAACTTGTGACATTACATTTAGAATATTAAGAAAAATCTCACTTGATTTATCCAAAAGAAGCTAAGAACTTGATTAGTATTTTTGCACTGCACTCTCTTAAAACACTAATAAAAACTAATAGAAATTGATTTGCCTTATTGGTTTTTAGTTTTTAATTTTTAATTTGGCCCATAATTATTGAAATGTTTTTTTATATGTCTTAAATTATAAAAATACATATTTTCTTGCATTAAATCACTAACGGTCATTCCGATTCTGGATGTTTGGTCGACCAGAATGGGAATGAGGAATCAGAATGCCATTCCCCATTCCCCCATATGGGAGAATGGCCATTCCCGACCCCCTCCCCTAGAATGTGATTCCCATTCCGCTATTAGTTTCCATTTTTTTTCTTTTTGGACAAAAAACCCGTCCAATCCAACCTGTGATTGAGTTGTGTTGAAAAGGACGAATCCCATGCTGTTGCCGTTACTGCTGTCAACCCCATCTCCGGTGAGGAGGTTGATCTCTTCTCTCTTTCCTCTCACTTCTTCTTCTTCTTCTTTTSACATTCCCTCCCTTTGTTCTGTCCTTTCCGATGCAATGGTCGTTGTAGCGGCAGGTTGGACCGAAACCCTTCTCTTTTGATCTCTCTTCCCCCATTTTTCTTTTTCATTCTCCTATTTCCCCTATTTTTTTCCTGATTTCCTTATCATTCCTATCACTCTTTCGACGAGCAAAGCACAACATTTACAGATACTTGTTCATTGTCTTCCCCAACGAGACGACAATCCAGTAGYGGCGTGAATCCAGTTTTCTTGCATATATTCAACGATTTTTCAATGTTTTTGGGTTTATTCTCGTCTACCATCGGTTTCGTCAATTTTCAAGGACTCCCCAGTTCTTGTTCTTTGTCACATGTTAAGAAAAATCGCTCGAGAGAATCCATCTTTCTTCCAGATTTCAAGCAGAGTCCACGCTAGTGAGGTTGTCTTCTCCTGTGAATCGCCCCCGTCCACATTTCTGATCATCATTGTGGCTCACAACAAACAACCTAAGGTGAAAAATCAACAGAAACTCGTCCTTATTGCATCGATCAAGTCCAGGTCAAATCCCAACTCAGGTAAACATGACTTTCACTCCATTTTACTTTGATTTTTTTTTTAAATTTGCTGCAAAATTATTGTAGTTTCTACATTTTTCTACAAAATTTCTGCATTTTTTGGTATTTTCATGCATTTTCTGCTTTTTTATTTTTATTAGGGGCAAAATTGGAAATCATGGCTGATTCCGATTCCAGCCTCTTGATGAAGCAAACAACATCAATCATAATCCGATTCTGATTCCTGTTTGAACCAAACAGGTAGGGGGAATAGGCCATTCTGATTCCGATTCCGAGAGATTCCCATTCCGATTCCAATCACAAACCAAACGGACCCTAAATAATCATTAACACTTGAGGCTCACTCCTTTTTACGCCTTAGACTATACCTCACGTTTTGAGGTTTGAGATTTACACCCCATTTTGACAAAGGTTTAGACCCTACATCAAAATTATGAGACTTAAACCTTAAGGCAAAATCTGTGTGCTTCATCAAAGCTTTTAACATAATAGCTAGATTTGCCACAAGTAAAGTTGGTGAACTAATTACTTTTTATCCCTTCAAAGCCAATAAAGTTGGTGATATAGTGAGTTGGGCCACCATGTGCCTTGAAGCTATAGCAACCCCCAACTTTGGATGGATATCCTTAATCTTTGGACAGTAGCCTCCCCCACACCACATATATAATATTTTCATCATCTTTAGTTTAATTTATTAATGGTATTCAGTATCTCTATCCGATCCGAGTCTCATCSAAAATCTGAGATCCCATGTACATACCCCTGTTTCCATCCTCAATGGTCCATGAAAACTGGGTCTGTTTACTTGACTAAAAAAGAACTTATCAAAAAAAAGGGTTTGTTTACTTCCAAAAATAAACCGGGTCTGTTTTAGCCATTCTATTTCAGGGTTAGTTAGCAAAGTGATCTATTCAACCAACATATGCTGGGAAAAATTACATCAGCTATATATACTATTTTCATAACGGTAGTAAACAAGTCAAATTAAAGGCAAATTTTGGTTGCTTTCATTTTTGAAATGTTTAATCAGTAATAAAAGATTTTCAGAAGAGAAATTAATTTTAATATTCATATATATTATGAGTATTAATAGGTATCCGTGGGAGAATATATTAATCCTAATGGTTAGGAATTTTCTTTTGACACACAAAAAATCTTTTCCAATGATGTATAAGTTAGTCAATTTTCTCACGCAATGTTTTATTTCCTCTGTTTGTTGGTTTTTTTTTTTTTTTTTTTGGTTGGTTGGAGGCTGGGCAAGTCGGTCGTGTCTTGGGCTTCTTGTTAATGGAATACAAATAATTAATTAGCCAACGACATTAAAACCCACGTCCGTGCAGTCCACGGACGTGTCTCAGTTCTCATTATAAATAGACGTAGAATTAGAGAGGTTCCTCAGACTTGGTACTGGTTTGCTTGTGTTAATTTGTTTGGTATCGTTTACGTTCTTTGCTAGCTGTCTTTTATTTCTATCAAAATGGAGTCGGGTGGCATTGTTGAGTCTATTGGGAATAAGACGATCTTAGTCACTGGTGCTACTGGTTTTGTAGCCAAGCGTACGACTCACTGATATTCTTTAATCAATCTCTGTCCTTAATTTCTTCCATTCATAAAGCCTTCTTTATGAATTCTTTTTTATCTTAATTCAGCGGGGCTAACTTAATTTGCTTCTGGGGATGCAGTTTTCGTGGAGAAAGTTCTCAGAGTTCAGCCCAATGTAAAGAAGCTCTATCTTCTTTTAAGAGCTCCTGATACCAAGTCAGCCACACAAAGGCTACATAACGAGGTTTGCAGAATTTTTCTCTGAATCAAGTAGTAGAGAACTTTTAAGAAGTGCTTTAGTTGGAGGTTCCATGTCAATTATTATATTCCAACTACTAGCTAGAGTAAGATAAATTGTTTTTCTTTTTTGTTTTAATAATATATAGGTGATAGAAAAGGAGGTTTTTAGGGTCCTAAGACAGAAACATGGTGCTGGTTTTGATTCCTTCATATCGGAAAAGGTGACTCCGGTGCCGGGGGATATTAGTTGTGAGAACCTGGGAGTAGAAGACTGTGATTTGAGGGATGAAATGTGGAGAGAAATTGACATTGTTGTGAATATGGCTGCAACAGTTAACTTTGATGAAAGGTATATTAATTATATATATATATATATATATATATATCCATGGGACATCGATCCCTTCTCTCTCTCTCTAATTAATACATACACTGATCCGGGAAAATTTGCAGATATGATGATGCGTTGTATACCAATACCTTGGGAGTGAAGCATGTTCTGAACTTTGCAAAGAAATGTGCTAAGTTGCAGATGTTTGTGCATGTATCCACGGGTGAGAACACAGATTTTTTGGTTTTGACTTTAGCTTCTCTATCCAACTCAATGCACAAGATTTCAATAGGGTCTTTTGTAGTACAAATAAATATATAATTGGGTCCCCCTTATACTGATAGATAGGATATGGTGATTTAATTTCAGCGTACGTGGCCGGACAGCAAGAAGGAGTGATAATGGAGAAACCATACCGAATGGGAGAAACACTCAACGGAACTCCCGGGCTGGACATCGAACAAGAGCTGAAAGTGGCAGAGGAAAGATCGAAAGAAGTGCAGGATTTGGGGTTTACAAAAAAACAAGAAAGAATTGCCATGAAAGAACTGGGATTGACAAGGTACGTAATTAACACCTCCTATAACTAACTAATATATACATATATGTCATGGATATCATCATGCATGGTCTTATCATTTAAGAGACGGTCCTCTTTGGTCTTTTTCAAATTGAATTGAAGGCCCTTCAGTACTCCTCCTAAGAAAACCCCACAAGTATTAATGGTTTTTTTGGCATTGAATTTCTGTTTCTGCTCCACGTGATCGTCGAGCTCAGGAAAGGCGATTCAAACTTTAATAATCGTACACTATTTTGTATGGTTGTTAACAAGAAATTAAACTGCATTCTGTATAGAGCATAGACAATCGAACCACCGTAGACCCGGTTTAGTTCATATCGATTTGACAAAGTTAATCCAGTCCAATAATCAACCCGGGTCACCAAGCAATAATTAAATTTAAGAAAAACAATTATAGTGGCTTAGCTGGCTGCCTTGGATGATGTGGCATGGAATTTCAGAAAACTCTCCACTTAATAATTAGAAAATACAAATAATAGATATTTGGCAATTAACAAGCTGAGGGGGCTCTCTCCCTCTACCAACATTTCCCCCCTTAATTTGCCCTTTCAATATCTTCTCGGGGGTAGTCTGTCTCTTTGACCACTGCCATTGTGTAAGAACTACACCGTGCACTAGGAACATCTCCCATGAATAATAACAAATAAGTACAGGAGATGTTCTCAATGCATGATAGGATGTGCGTGTGAGGAGCAGATCCGGTCTCCTTGAGAGAGGGTACTTACCGCAGCCCCTCTAAGGACTCTAGCTGATTTACATGAGTCCAGATCTGCTCCTCACAGAGTGTASCTCACAGTCCCATCTCACTCTGTATTGAGAACATCTTCCCATATTCTCAATACGCGTTGGGATAGATGGGGCTGTAAAGTCAGTGTGAGGTGCAGATCCTGATTTGATTTACACTTCTTCAGTTCAGCCGCTTTCTGAGACATGTGTCCGATTGGATGGTGGGGCAATCCTTTCCTAAAATCTTTTAAATCGCCTTCTTGATTTTAGACTTAGGCCATATTCGTTTTTTGGTAAGTTACTTACYTGGGTAAGTTTTTTTGGGGAAATACTTACTCGGGTAAGTGCATTTATCCATGTTCTTTTATTTCTCATGTAAATAAGGCAATGACCATTTTAGTCATAAAAATCCATTATTAAAAGGGGCATTCCTGTCCCATTCAAGTGTTGACAACTTTCCCCCTATGTGGGAAAGTTATTTACCCACCTAGGAGATGGGTATCACTTACCCAGGTACATGGTACCCAGGAAAATAAATTTTCCTTGGTCCCCACATAAATCTCAAAAAAGAACATGAGATTCTTGGTCAATGGGAATTAAAATCCCATTGACCAACTTTCCCCCCTCTCAAAATCCGAAAAATGAACACCCCCTTAGAGCCATCATTCTCTCCACCATTCCCTTACATTTTGATTTGGGTATATGTATGTATATATATATAGTTAAAAATCCAAAAGGGGCTTTTCTCCAATCCAATGTGGATGTTGGATAAGGATATAATCCTGTTCTATCCTCATGGCTATGTGGTTCATTTATTGCTGTAATTAATGGCAATATCCATATTTAGGGCTGTTCATAAGAAGGCCCAACCCGACCAAACCGACCAATCCGAGTTGGCCGGGTTTTTATAAGCACCGGTCTGTTTCGGGTTGTATAAATTCATAAACTGATGGTTTGGGTCGATTTCGGTTTTCTTGTGTGAAAATCGAAACCGATCCGAACCGAACCGACTTAGTTCCTACTTAACTAAGTTGCCTTTATCCTAATTCCCAATTACAACCTAACCTAGTCTTATAGTTCCTATTTAACTAAGTTGTCTCTATCCTAGTTTCTATAGTCTTTTACACCAAATAGGCAATTACAATTAGAATTAGGTGTCTTTTTTTACTTAGATTAGAACTTAGAAAGTTTCTTGAAATATACAAATTTCAACATTTTTTCTATAAAAGAGTTTGACTTTCTATTTTCTTGATAACTTTTGTCTTCTATTCTAATTCTAACTTTTTAAATATATTTTCAGAAAATATCTTAAAAACTTCAGTTTTCAGTTTTCAGTTTTTAGAATAGATATTTCCTTCTAGGCTTCTATGTCCTTTTTGTACAGAAACAAAACCGAAACTGACCCAAACCGACTCAAACCGACCTGGTCGGTTTTGCTTAACACTGGGTCGGTTTCGGTTTCCATCTCAGATAACCCGACCAGGTTGGGTCGATTGGGAAAACCCCAATAAACCGACCCAACCCAACCCATGAACAGCCTTATCCATATCAAGCTTGTGATGAGATGCATATTGGGTGGAGGGAAGACCCGTGTTCGAACATTCTTTACAGCCTTAGTGGGAATATCTCTTTACTAATGTGTTTTATTTCATAGGAAGGTATTTCCAATACAAGTCTATAAAGGCTGCTCGATTGGGCCTTGTATTGACTGAACCCGATCTCTAATTAAACATTATTTTGATATGTTGTTATTATCTCTCAAGTTTTTTTTTTTTTTGAACCACACAATTTAAAAGAGTGTTTTTCTTTCATTTTTTTTTTGAAACATGATGTATGAACATTGATTTGTATGATTCATGTGTTTTTTTTTGGTATTTAATTCAAGGCACTAAGTTTTTAACATCTTAGGAAATCGGGGGATTCAAATCTGCATCTCTGTTAGGACTACACAACTAACACGCATTTATTAATTATTATTTATTTTGATAGTACACATCATCATATAGATACATAAAGACTAGACAGCTATATTGGTGCATGGCACACATCATATAACTGTTATGTCATGCTTGCATCAGTGAACCATGTTTTCCAGTTGAGAAGGCAATAAAAAATTATTTTGAAATTTGCTTTTTCCAGAAAGCTGGTTTGGTCGTGATTCGCGAACCAAAAGCTAACTAAGACTAAGTTCAATTGGGTGGTTCAAACCATCAGCCCTACCAAAGCTGGGAAGTGGACAGATCTGTTCAGTTTACAGAATTGACCATCCAATTTGTTTAGGGTTTTAAAATATTGCTTTTAACATGGTTTTAACTATCAACTTAAACTAGCAGAAATCTGAAAAAAATGAATATATATATATAAATAATAGCTACAAGGTTTAATTTGAATTTTAGATTTGTTGTAATGGAAGATGATCAAGTATAGTTAGGTCTGGAATTATTTTACTTGTAAGTCTTCCCAATATTTTTTGCATTTATTAAAACAAACAATTTGATATATATATATATATAATGTTAACCAGGTCTGAAGTCTTGGCTTTTAATTTGTTGATAATTAATTTCCTTTAATTACTTTGGATAATGAAGGGCAAGATTGTATGGTTGGCCAAATACCTACACTTTCACAAAGGCTATGGGAGAGATGCTTATTGGGAACTTGAGAGAAAACATGCCTGTTGTTATCATACGCCCAACCATGATAACAAGCACTTACTATGAACCATTTCCAGGTTGGATTGAAGGCCTCAGGTAATTCACTTAAAATTCATAATCTCTCTCTCATCCTCTCTAATACACCACTTTGTCTCTTAAATACAAACAGATCTATATATAGATTCAGTGGTTTTGTATATTTTACTTAGTCTTCTAAAATAAACTGATTTTTCATATTCCTATATATATGAACTTCAGCGCTCATCAAAATTCATTTTGTTGACTACAGAACCATCGATAGCTTGGCACTGGGTTATGGTAAAGGAAAGCTTACTTTCTTCCTTGGAAATCCTAAGATGATCATTGATTTGGTAAGTTAATTCTCACTATATCAACCATGACTAAATATCCAGTATTGAATAGCCATATATGCATATATGTGCTTCAGATGTTTTTTTTTTAATACCCAAATATTGTGATCTATGTGCTTAATGCATCCAATTGATACTCTCTTAACCTAAYCCCCCCATCTTACTTCATGTCTACAACCCAGTTCATTCATTCAGTTACCTCTATACATTTTTCTTAAGGCTGTATTTGGTTTGAAAGAACAGGTATGGAAACCTTTGCAAGGTTTGTACAGGTTTGCATACATTTTCTTTCAAACCAAACACAGTCTTAAGTGATCATACTAGAGATATAGAAGAGAGAGAGATGGTGGTAAGTTCATTTAAGCATGCATATGTAGTACAAATAGGCTTGTTGTCTTGATACAAAACTTGATTGATATCACAGATACCTGGAGATATGGTGGTAAATTCTATTATTGTGGCCATGGTTGCTCATCTCAATCAACCTTGTGAGCATATCTACCATGTGGGATCCTCTGTCAGCCAACCCCTACAAGTTACCTTCGTTCAGGAGATTGGATATCATTACTTCGCTATGAATCCATGCATGGATAAAGATGAAAATCCCATCAAGGTTGGAAAGGTTGCAATATTCAGCAATATGGATGACTTCCGTAGATACATGCTCATTCGTTACTTGATCCCTTTAAAGGTTTGCTTTATGCATATATAGCTTTTATTTATTTATTTGTTTCATTCTTTTGTTGAATGATACTTTAGCTTTGGACATTGTGTATCTAGAAACTTTTTATCACCCTAACTCCTAAAATAACAATCTATTGAAGGCATTCCTATTAATACAGTAATAAGGGTTTTCCTCATCTAGAAGAAGTAAAAAAAATAGTTGAGAAGTTAAGTTTAATTATGTGTCCTCTTTTTTCCTCTTTCTTTTCACCATTGTTGATCCTTTTATTTTTCTTGTCTATTTGCTTTCAGGGATTACAATTGTTAAATGTAGTATGTTGTCAATATTTCGAAGGAGCCTATGGTGATCTCAAGCGAAAGATCAGCTTTGTATTACGATTGTTGGAACTTTACGAACCATACTTGTTCTTTAAAGGAGTGTATGTATTTCTTCTTCTTCTTTTTTTTTTTGTGCTTATAAATGATCATCTAATATGTTTTGGGATCTCATTTTAAACGTATAATTTCATTAGTTGATTTATTAGGGGAACAAGTCAGACCAGATTGAATCAGATTGAGGTCAACCCTAGCCCAACCTCAAATGTTGAAACCCCCAACATTAACCTTAATGCAACCTGATGGTATGGGCTTTAAATTGGCTTTATATTTTTCAATACTAACCATATTATCAAACCAATTCAACCCAACCTGGCTTTTTTGGATTTGGTTTGGGCTATCCCGACCCATGTTGCACCCCTATGATTTTTTTTTTACATAAAAATCTTTAGAATTTCTATTAACTCCGAGCTTTCTTGTGTATGCATAGCTTTGATGATTTGAACACAGAAATGTTGCGCAAAGCAACTCTGAAGAACGAGGTAGAAGCGAGTATGTTTTGCTTTGATCCCAAGCATATCAATTGGGCCAACTACTTCATGAACACTCACCTCCCTGGTCTTGTAAAATACGTCTTCCGGTCACAATAAATAAGTCTATGCCTGTACTGAGGTAGCTCTTTGTATTTCTCTCCAGCCATCCTGTTTATTATATCAAAAATGTATTTTTTTTTCATAATAATTAGTCACTTAGTTGATGTAAGGTTTAAAACATATAGCTCCATGCATGTTTTGGAGACGTCATTAATGTTGTTGCATGCAAAAACCGAATCGAACTGTCAAAGAAGCAAGTTTTTGTTTGGATGGGTGGTTTCTAACATTCTATTGAGTTTGGTCTGCCTGATAGAAACCGAATCGAACTGATTATATGGTTGTTCTGGTTTTGAGTTTTGTGTTTCGAGCCCACCCGTTGTCATTCTATTTGTATGTCTGTGGTGGACCTAGGAACAACCCGAGAAGCTAAAAACTGATCATCCGAGAGAGACCTTTGGGAGGAAGAGAAGATATAGGATTTTTAATATATAACAGAGGCGAGAACATATAGGCTTTGAGGCATTAGATACTATTTGTACCCATTCAGTAGATGGAATTTCGTTGTTGGATTGCAGGAAAATCTATTCTTAATATATAACAAAGTTTCTCATGAAAAAATGCAACCATAAAGGTTGAATAGCCTCTAAAGAAACCTTTCACAAGATAGCAATAATTTAGATTGAGAGAGACAAGTTCTAAACGGAAGTTTTCAGTGTATGAAGGGTCATTTTGAATTTTTGAAGAGGCTTTTGATTGGTCACCAAGTGACCATGCACTATCAAGATGAAAACCAAATGGTCAAAGATTCCTTACATCGACCATGTGGGTACAAGCAAAATGAGCCTCTAAAGCATTGCATTGCATTTGGCTGCATATGTCAGCTGGGATCAGATAGGCACAATATTGTAAGCACATCCAATTAAAACTTGAAATTGTTTTAACATCTATCCCTTAAGAATACTCTCAGCCCATTCTCAAATGCTCATTTAACATGCTTTACTTATGTTGTGCCCATTAGATCCGCGGGTCCCTGCACAAGCATGTATTCCGATGACAACATGTGTACATACTCTCCGATGTATGCTTCTAAAGGGTGTAAACAAATTTGTGCAAATAAATTGTAATTTTTCCATTTAGACTAGACTTTGAAGAAAGCAGAGACAATGAGAGGTGTTGTATCCACTGGTCTGGTGTGGTAAATGGTAACTAACTGAAAGCCGAAAGCCACCATCCAACACTTTAAAAAACAAAAGAGTTACGTAAAAAACTCTTTGAACCCTCATTATTAATACAGACTCTCCGTGACGAGGTTCACCTCGAATCAATCAATCAGTGGCTCTGCAACGCTGTATATACGGAAAGAAACAGAACCAAAATTGGGTTGTTTGAGGAATAGAAGGATGTGTGTGACACAAGTAGTTCTTGCAGAGCTAATTCCATCAACTGTGCAATAGTAGTCATTAATCCGTGGACAATACCCATTTTGGTGAGAAAGCGGGAGAAAGTGACTATCAGATGATATTGACTTAATCCCTGATGGTGAAGGGTGAAAAACACTATGAAGACTAAAAATGACAACAAGATTGGGTGGCGAAGGCTCATGTTTCTGCCTTGAAGGAGAGAAACGATTCCGGGGAGACATCAAGGAAGAAGCCATGTATGTATTCATGGAGATAGCTTTCTTTGACTTTTCAGGGCCGGGGTGGGGCACTAATATGAACCTAACGCTCAGTTTGGAAGGAGTGGCGTACAATGTAGAGTGCAAAATCTTACATTTTATATTATTTTGTATGTATTTATACTGTATATATTTGTATTTGTACTCCTTCCAAACTTAGCCTAAAGAAAATCTTAGAGGCCATTGACCTCCTGCCACCCCTAACTAACATATGGGTGTTTTGTGGACTCTTCCGTTGGACGTAAAAAGCCTTTTACAGCTCTCTTTCTACTTTCCTCTTGAAGAAGCAAAATGATATGGAGATGTACTAGAATAGCTGTTCTTTGGGTTGGAGGCCAGTTGATGGGTTGAGTTGTCATCATCCTTATTGACAGAGGAATTACTTACTAGCAAGGCAAATGGGCTTGGTAGTCCATTCCACTGAGTCCTTCCTGGTCCAGGTGRCCAATGGTCATAATATCAAATGCAATGGAATTTGCAGGGGAGTGAAGCTTAAGGTCCAAGGGAAATTCTTGATAGTTGACCTTTACACTTTGGAATTAAGTGGAGTAGATATTGTCTCGGAGGTTCAATCGTTGAAGCAATTGGGTTGGGTAATTTGTGATAGGGTCCAACTTACCATGGAGTTTCAGTTTAATGGTAAGGAATTAGACCTAATGTGGCTCAAGAGGGAGACCGGCTTCCATTAGGGCAAACCTGTGCTCATACTGTTCTAACAGCCTTTCTCAACTTTGCATTGGGAATATCTCCCCCATGAAATAACGTACATAAGTATGGAGATATTCTCAATGCCAGGCAGTAAAGGCTGCTCGAACGGGCTTTGCCTTGTCTGAAGCTGAATTCCTCAAGAGGAGGCTTGAGATTTTGAACTCAAATGATGTCAATTGATACCACAACTAAGGTGGTGTTTGATAAATTTGAAATCTGAAATCTGAAAAGTTAAAAAGATATTAAAAGTGTTTGAAATACGAAAAGAGGCATAAATGCTTTTCTACATTTTAGAGACTCTGAATACTCAAGCTTGTTTGTATTGGACCAAACCTTTAACATTTGAAATTCCTTGATTTTACTATTTTACACCTATAATAAACTATTTGGTAATTTTGAGCTCAATTTGTACTATTTCATATAAAATAATTTATCAAATTCAAAATAATATTTAATAATTAACAATAAATAAAATTTAATAATTAATAAAATAGATAACTAATAATTAATAATTACTAAAAATAACTAATAGTTAAGAAAAGTTATTAATACTTAATAAAAAACACAAGCAAAAATTAATAACTAATAAAAATTGAAATAATTAACACTAATAAGGATTAAAATAATTAGCAAAAAAATTAATGAAATTAATAATTAATAGTTGAAAAAATTAAAATTAAACAAAATAATTAACAACTAATAAAAAAATTAAAATAAATAACACTAATAATTACTAAATAATAATGTCAATCATTAATAATTAACAATTAATAACTAATACATAATATTAAAATAATTAAAACCAAATAAAGATGAAAATAATTAATAAAATCAGTAATTAATTAATCATTAATAATAAAAACAAATGATTAAATAATAAATACATAACTAATATCTAATAAAAATATTAAATTAATGAACAATAATAAAAATTAAAATAATTTATAATTAATACAAAAAACTCATAAAAACTTAAAATAATTTATTCAATCCAAAATAATATTGACTGAAAAATAAAAAATAATTTGTTCAATTCAAATAATTGATTAAAATAAATTATTCAATTCAAAATATAATTTATTTAGAAAATTATATCGTTCCCTATGTAATATTAATTTGTCTGTGTTAGTAATTGTTCTGAATTTATATTTTTTATGATTTTTCTAAACAAAATGTTGAAAAAAATGCAGTTGTAATGCATTTTTTTTTCAAAAAAAGATAATATTTTCAAATACCAAATTTACTCCTAGAATTATCCATAAGTGATTATCATGTAACCATCTTCCCAGAATCATTATGAAGTGAACTAGTGACCGAAAATCCAACACCGAGAAGGCGAGAACAAAATCCAGAGGTGGTACGTCGGCCACCTAGCCGGAATTTTCCAATGCTCCACTATCTTCTCCGGTGACTATAGGCAATGGCCAGGACCAGGATGGCAGCAATCCCAATAGTTGCAGCAACATCCCTATCCACAGTGTGAAAGCTATGGAGGAAATGCAGGGCGGGCCAGTCCGGATGAATTGCAGACAAATACTAGCGTGTTTATTCCTAATAGGTAGCCAATTAGGAACTGCAATTGCCACAATTAACCAACTTGCCACGTCAGTTCAAAACATTAATGGCCAAGCAAGCAAGTGTTGATAGTGAATGGGCCGGGGATAAGATTGACAAACCTGGGTCCACTCCTTCTCCTTCTGACCCAAGGCCCATGGACATTACGCTTTATATCTGTTCATACTTCATACACCAAGTTCAATGGGTCTAAAAACAATGGATATTACACGGCTATATTGGGAACATATTCCCTTTTACATGTTATCATTGAAGTTCTCAATATACAGATGTAATGTCAAGTGGGTAGGAGATTCGTGCTCACTTAAAGAAAGGAGATGACTTGTGTCCTTGTTTCAGGGAAGAAGAGGAAGAGAACAGACCCTTCAACATCCATAACCCAGATTTTCTACTCATTTTCTTTTTACCCATGCCTTACAGTACATTTCAGCCACACATCTCAGAATACAAGATGGCGATGAAGGCAGGTAGAGAAAGTGGATGTGGACCTTTATGCAATGGTTTGAGGATTTGTTTACAACTGACTCTGAAAATAACGTCCTCATTCTCATATGCTCAGTAGTTCTGTGGGATGCTTGGAAGTGGAGATGCAAGCTTGTATTTGAATGTACTAAACTAAACCCCTCGTATATCATTAATTGCTACAGCTAATTCACAATTTTCTACTTTAATCTCTCATTTACAACAGCAGCAGGATTGCTTCAAGCTAGCAGCTCAGCTCAAAATGACACCACCCCAGTAACAGAATTGTACTCTTATTGGAATCCAATCCATCGTTACATAATAGTCTGAAAATCAATATTAATTAATTGATGGATCCTTAATTCTCTCAATCAATAGCTGTGGTAGGTTTAGTAATTAGGAAGCATAGAGGCCGGAGACTTTGTTTATGAATTTTGTTTTATTACTTCATAAATAAATAATTGTATACGATAAAATTTCATATGAAACAAAATTTTAAGATGTTTTTTTAATTTTAACGGAAAAGTATGGGACAGGCCTAATGCAGATTTCTGAATTCCACTGTAGGCGTATAAATATTCAAAATGTCAAATACTTCCACTTTGAACACCAATGTCCACCGTAAATTGGCACCAATTCCGAACTGGCACCTACTCAATTATACTTTCGACCTAAAAATTCTGATCGTGGACTGAACCGTCATTCTCCCTTTTTTTAATTTCTTGTCTAATTATGCCACCGGCCCGGCCCGCGGTTCATTGGATTCGAGCGGTCGGACTATGGGAGGTCATGCCGGACCCCAACGTTCTTATTCGATATAACCTTATCGGATAAAGAGAGAGGCGGGACTCGGGAGGGAGAGAGTGGAGAGCGCGGGTGAGCGGTTTACCTCCCCTCCGGTGGGTAACTGGTACTCTCCAGAAATTTCACATAGGACCGAGTACAGCAGCATACGAAATTACGAATGCGGGGATCGTGAGGAATTTAGGTTTTTTCCTGTCAAATTCTCGCCCATGAATCTCGAACCAGATCCGTTCTCATTTTTCAGAGATTAGTGTTGTTGAAAGACCAGTCTAACGAATCGTTGAGGCTAGGAAGATTGTGGCCATTGAAAACAACTGCGGTTTTTATGTATTGCTCGGAAATCAGATTCAAAGTCATTACAGATAAACGAAATAGAATAAGCAGAACAGAAAATTGAGGCATGAGAAGGAAAAACAATTTTGACTGTTTCTTTCCAAGATTTTGTAAACCGTTATTTATTGGAGTCTTTTGTTTTAACATTCTAGTAGAATGGAGAGATTACAGCTAAGTTGCAACAAATGCACTTGCTTTACAGAAGAATGCACTTGGAGTTGTGGTGGGGGATATGTTAGGAGACACGATCTGTACGCCCATTGCAATGGTTGGAGTATCATGCTTTCTCAAGGTACAAAATCGGGGATCTATTTTTCCGTGGATTTTTGTTAAATTTGTTGTTCTATCCTCCACTGTAATTTAGATTTTGTGGGTTATCAATGATAAGCAGTTCTAAATCGGCCATGAAGAAGGTGTTTGACTGTCAATTCCCTCTGGCCGTCATGGCAAATCAGATATGCTTTTGATTAAGGGTCTCCTTATATAAGGTGTTCTTTTGATTATTCTAGGCGTTCTTGGCAGATGAGATGAAATAAATTAAAACAAATATTCTTTTGATTAAGGCCTCTCGGTATCACGCTTGGGTGACACAAACTGCTCTCGATGTGTTGCAAATGGGTGGCTCCAAGAGAATATCCTTTCGACTCCAAATGCACTGGATCTAGAGTGAATTAGTATTCTCAATTTTGATGTACTTTTCGAAACCCCAATTTGGAGAATGTGGTAGGTTTCTTTTAAATTCATGGTGCAATTCGTCTGGTTTGGCATTTTTAGTAATAAAATTAGTCAATTAATTCCACTAAGTATTTATATTCATGTCGATGGTAAATGTTGCTTTGATGGTCTTCTTTCGAATTCATAGTGCAATTTGTCTATGGCTTCAAAAATAGTGCAATTTGTCTGGCTCATTTGGATGGTAACTGTAGCACCACTATCTTGTTGTTGCTTTGTGTGTGTGTGTGTGTTTTTCCCTTTTTTGTTCATTGTAATTGAGTAAACTCTATGTTCTATTGCCATACTGAATGATGGTCTTTTTTTTTTCTTTGCATTTTTAATTAATGTCATATTGTTTGGAGTTTTTAGGGTTGACTTTAGTTTAAAAGATGAAATTATTAGGGTTCCTTCATACAAGTTCTGATTGTAAAATGATTTCCAGTCAATAAGCAATTTGATCTTTGAAGAAAAGGAGATTTTAAGTATGTATAGTGACATGATTAAATGTGTTTAGAGACAAGGGAGTTTCTATTCAACCTCTTTCCTTACCTTGAAAATTAAGCAAGAGCTTCAGAGAAAAAGAATGTAGTTGGTGGGAAGCATCCTTTATATTACTAGGATATCTTCCACCATAACTTCTGCTTGGATCTACTATGTAGCCACTTTGTTCTTCACCCCTCTACATCACTTGCAATGACTATCTCCTCCAGTGAGAAGCCTTTTGATGAAAACCAGTAGGGATTGAATGGGTTTGAAGAGAAGTTTTTGCTATTAGATCTAGAATCATTTCTTTGTCCTTCAGCTTCCGAAGGGCCTATGGTCTAAGGGCATTTTGCTTGGATAGTCATAGACTTGGTTGTCATTAGAGATTCAGAATGACTCATAAGCCATTTGTAGTGAAGGATTTGGTTATTAGGAGTTGAGCCTTGATTTATAGGCTTTGTCTCCTTTGTTATTAGATTGATATCATCTACTCCTTATTTGACTTTAAAATCTTGAGCAGTGTTTTCAACTCGTCGTTGACCCGGCTGGTTGAACTGTTCGAACCATCACCCGGCCAGGATTCTGGGTCCGGTTCTGTTAAAACCCATTAGTTAGTCAGAAACCTTTGACTTGGTAAAAAACCGTCTGACCTGGTCACTGGGTTGCGGGTTGCACACTCAATGCATGCAAATTTTCGGAGGCCATAACATTGCACTCTGAATATAGGATCCGCAACCTGGAGGCAAAAACGGTTTGGCCTCCGGGTTAGTTTTTAAAACACTGATCTTTAGGTTGAATTCTAATTATTGTTTGTTGTGGAAGCTAGGACCTTGGAGAATTAAAGGGGTCTATGTAAATGTTACTGGTGATATTTTGGCAATCTCCTTGGTTAAGGTGGGCTTTGGAGGCTCTATCAAAGCTTAGCTCTTAGCTCTAAAAGGCTTAGGTGGAGGTGGATACCAAGTTTTAAAATGTTGGTGTTGATGGAAATACAATCATCTGAATATGGGAAACATGTCAGAAATGTCAGAAACATCATATGGAAGTATTGTAAAAATTATAAACATGGTGGAAGTGGAACATTGTAAAATATGCAAAAATATAGAATTTTATTTTATGTAATGATAAAAGATGCATAGTGATGAAGATCAAAGGTGTGCAAGATGACCCTTGTTGTGACTAGGTTTCTCGAACTCAGGTGCGGCCTTTGGTGAATGGTGGGGAGTGAGAATCTGCAGAGAAAGACAACCAGAGGGCCTGGGCAGGTCTCCCAAGCTATGGATTCTGACGCTTAAGTGAACCAAGCTGTCCAAGGTGAAAAATTAACTTGAGCAGGAGTCAGAATGCAACTAGTACCTTCGGGTTACAATTTATGGTTGCACATGTTAACATGAGAGTGCTTGGGGCCCACTTCCTTGTGAAGTGGGGAAGTGGGATAACGACACTGCCAGATGGCAATTTATGGTTGCACGTGGTACAGGTTGGTCATACGCCCATGACTTTGGAGGCAAGACCAGGTCGGATGCACGTTCTTGGCAGGCAACTTAGTTCGGGCTCACTCTAGGTCGGCTGCCACTAGGATACCCAGGTCAGGCTATTACTGCTAACTCTCGAGGTGCTTTCAAGCTCTATGCCGCCACATGTCACAATGTGGTGCACAAGGATCAAAGTTTTGATATGATACACCTCGTATCAGGCATATCGTGTCGTATCTTTTGGGTTCTGAAATAACTATTTACAGGTGTTTCGGAAACCCTCTTTTTTTAATAGAAAATATATATATAAACCTACCCAAAAACCAATTTTTGAAAAAAAAAACTAAAAAAATATAAAAGTGCATGCTTTTTAGTACCGATGCACTTTTGTTGATACACAGGGGTGTATTGATACTTTGAAACTTGGTGGTGCAATCAAGTGTCCCTCACATTGCTACGTGCCAAGGCATTATTGGAGGTTAATTCGACCCCCCATCACATAGGTATGTGCAGGGCTGCTCCATTGTGGCCTGGGTGACCAGGGTTCAAATCTTGGAAACAGCCTCTCTGTATGTGCAGGGCTAAGGCTGCGTACATCTGTCCCTCCCTAGACCTCACATTGGTGGGAGCTTTATGCACTGGGCTGCCCTTTTAGGTAGGCCCTTTGAAATTATTATCTTGTTCCCAATCATCAAAACCACATGATAAAGTGATCTTTCAAGAAAAATTTAAACTCAACCAAATAATTCATTATACAATAAAAACTATGATTTAACTTCATGTTTGAAAAGAATTTCTAGGTGTCTCAAAATAGTAATAATGTCCATCAGTCGTTTTATAGTTGTCATTTAATCATTTTGTGATTTAATTATAGTATAATAATGTCCATCATTATACCACCCAATTGTCATTTTTGTTTGTTAATATTTTCATCTCAGTGACTAACTTTATTTCGTGGAATTTCTTCGGTTTTTATGTGTTCTTTCAACATGTTCTTTGTTTTCAAAAATGACATACCTGCTTTTCTTTTCTTTTTAGCAGAGAGAATGAGTATATTTTTACCTTTTCATCACTTTTGTCAGTTATAATAAGTACTGTAGGCTATAATGCCCAGATGTGGATACTGAAATGGACATGGATATGAGGAATGGGGATATAATTCTTCATTTTCTTAGATCCTTGATATGGGTACAGATACAGGCATAGGTATCCCATTTAATATGCTTATATTATGCTTCCATATCTAGTTTCTGAAGCTATATGTCATTTCTCAATATTGCCAAATTTTATTGAACTTCTAACAGATGCAGATTTTTTATAGTTTGATTTATTAAAACATACCATTATACGTATTTTAAAAGTATTGGTGCTACAAAGAATACTCTGGAAGTATGCATGTAGCATCTTGTGTCATATCAGGTAGGTATCATGTCTAACACTGGTAAACTAGTCATTTGCAGGTATCTGGGTGTCATAGTCTCTAGGTTATTTTCCTTTATTGCTTCCAGGAAAGCTGCAGGTGAGACACTATCTTTTTTTTCCCCTCTCTCTGAGAACAGGTTTTTCCATTCTCTTAAATGATTAGATGGAAGGTGATTTATCGTGTTAAACAAGTGGGAAAGTAATTCTTGAGGCTGGAAGTTGCTTGTGCAAAGCAAGATGGTCTTGCTGAAACATTACTCCTAAATTTTAGGAGCCATTTCAGGTTTCTTGTTGTCCAAAATTTCAAATCTTAATTCTGGCATTACATTTCTTTTCAAAGAGGCTGTTTAATAAGGCTACAACATTCAAAATTAAAAAGAGTGCTTAACATTATAAAAGAGGTCATTCATTTCACAGCTTGGGCTATGTATCCTTGTTTCTCTTTGTCTAGTTTAGCCTAGTTTAGTCATAGAGTGCTTAACATTATAAAAGAGGTTAATATTTCTTGAAGAAAATAATATTAGATGCAACTTTTTAAGTTGACATCATACAAGTTAAATGGTCTTTAATTTTCAAGCCATATTTGATTGGCCTTTTTGTTTGTTTTTTGCACTTGGATTTGTCATTAGGCTCCATTTGGGAAGAGTGAAAATACAAACATGATGGTCCATGAAAATGTAAAGTTGGTTTAGTTTTGCATTTACAAGTTTTACTTTCTTGCCAAACGATTTTTAGTTGTGATGGGTGCAAACATGAATTCCATGACTGGAATTCACCTTTTTGACATTGGCCAACTTAGGGTGCAAACATGCCTTGGAATTTGTAAGAGCTGTCATTTTAGTACGCAATTGCACTCTTACCAAACGCCTGTGAAACTGAACCTGAGTGCATAAATGCACTGGACTGGCAGTTGCACTCTTGTTAAATGGAGCCTCAGGCTCAGTTTGGAAAGTGTACAAATACAATTATGTACAGTGCAAATACAGGTTTAGAAATACAAAATACAAGGCTTTGCACTGTACATATTTGTATTTGTACTCCTTCCAAACTGAGCCCTATGAAAATTTGTTCTTCTTCAAACTAAAACAAGCTACACATACAGTATTTATTTTCTTTTTCTTTTGGAGAGGGAAGAGCGGAGTAAATTCTGATATTAATTTGGTAATCGAAAGAGAGGAATAGATAAGAAGAACAGAGCAAGGGAAGAGAGTTTAGTTTAAGGGAGAAGCAAAAGTGTGAGGCATATATATACAACTTAAGTTTACAAGAAAATGACCATTTCACCCTTGGTCATAACATATACAACATCAATAACATAAATAACTTATTCTTTCAATGGTCCCCTTCTAGCCAAGTATGGATGTATGTCATGTCCAGCTTAATTAAAAAATGGTCTAGTTTCATATAAGGAAGGTATTGTTTGTTTGATAAGCTCTCTTGTATAAAGTGACAGTCAACATCAATATGCTTATTTGTAATCATGCCATATAGAGTTATAAGCTATATTAATACCTGTTTGATTGTCACAATAAAGCATTAGTGGCATGCTCAAAGAAACAAAGTATTAGTCACATGCTCAAAGAAACACCCAACTCCTGTAGCAATGAATATAACCACAGGACCCTTGAAACACTATTTGTCATGGATCTGTACTCTTCACTAGAGCGGGCAATTATAGGTTTCTTCTTAAGAAAAAAGGTTCCCTCCAACAAATGTACAATACTAACTGTAGATCGGCTTTCATTTAGACATCCTGCCTAATCAGTATCTCTAAAGACCTCCACCTTCATGTTAGTGTTTTAAAAACCATTGGAGGCATATGCTTAGAGGTGCATCCTAGAAGCGACAGACCCTTGAGGTGTATGCCTCTGGCATAGAGGCGTACACTTCCAGCCTAGAGACGTATGGGGCCTATGCCTCTGTTGCACTTTATACAAGAGGATTACACCTCTTATGCTTTTGTATTTAAGCCTCTTTTTATAATAAAAATGCTATAGATAGAAGTGGGATAACCACCCTAGTATAAATAAGAAGGCGCTGCCAGCCCATGGTTTTTGGCTGCCAACATTCTTTCTCTCTTCTCCTTCTCATCTCTTCCTTTTTCTTATTATTTCTTAGTGGATAATAGTCTCCATTAATGGGAAGTTGGGGGCAGATGAAGTAGATGACTGAGTTTCACTTGATGTAGCTGCTACATTTGTACTCCCCTTCTTGTATTATTCTTCCTGAACCATTGAGGTGTGAGATGTAGGTGAGGCTTCCAACATGTATTACAGGTGTGTTTTGGCTTTTTATTGTCACTCACCACTTCCTCATTTTCTTCCATATCACTTCCTTTCCCTGCTATCTGTTGAGTCCTTGGCTCTGTAGTCACAAGAGTAGAATGATTGTAACATAACCCTCCTACTTTCCTCACTATGAACAAATACATAAACCTGTGAAAGTATTACATCATCTCTGGTCAGGATATGCTGTTGTATGATATCATATTTGGGATTAAGTCCAGCAATGAACTCAAAGATCCAATTCCTCTCAATAAGTTTTCTATAAGTGACAACATCCTTGCGGCTTTCTCAAATTACAGTCTCCAACAAATTAATTTCTTGTCATAATAACCTGAGAGAAGATAAATACATCTCTAGAGAATTCTTCCCCTACTCTTAAGACTGTTCACTTTTGATCTTAGCTGATAGGCATGAACTACATTAAGTGCTTGGGACTACAACTAAGATGTGGTTGAATGGAATTCACCAGCCAATACATTACCATCTTATTCTCTTGCATCCACCTCCCATGTCTCACATTCTGTGGATCTGGTTCTATCTCTAAGCTTGTGAGATATCCCAGATTACCATACATACAAATATATGCTTATAGATTGAGCCCATGCTAAATAATTGTTCCTATTAAACATTATAGCAGTTATCTGTGAACCTAGGGGTCTCCAGAACCTCTAGGGTTCTACGGATTTATGCCCTGCTCGGAGTCCCCTCCAAATGCATCCATTATTATAACCAAAAAAGATTAGGTTAACTCCAACAGTGTATTTGTAAAGGACAGGGTAGGTTTTCAGTTTTCTTGACCTATAATCAAGAATCTTCACAACTTATTAGGGTACTGCCAAAACCTCAGTGCCAAAATAGAGAGAAATAGGAAGCACTCCTAGTAGGCTCACGAAAAACAATCAGAACAGGTGGCAACCTCAGAAGTCGGAAAGGAGATAAAAGTCTATAAAATTAATACCTGAGCGCCACAACCAACATGCCTCTGGCCTCCAATCAAAATCAGATACCACTTCTCTGTTTTTTCTTGATTTTTGTGCAGAAATTTCTAGTAACTATTCCTAGGCAGCAAGCCAACCCAGAAACATCTCCTAAAATCCTTAAAATTCAGGCTCTATGACCTATAATGATCAGACTTCTTTGTTTCCCATGCATGCTGCTTATCCTAGTTGTGCATGGGTATCAAACATAGAGAAGAGAGAATGGCCAAGATGTTTCTGTTGCCCTCCAATAAAAATCAGATCCACCCTTTTGATTTTTTCTTGATTTTTGAGGGTGGGCCTTGGCAATGGTTGGGTTTGCTCCATTGCCACCTGGGTGACCAGGGTTCAAATCTTGAAACAGCCTTTCTGTATGTGCAGGGGTAAGCTGCGTTCATCTGTCCCTCCCCAGACCCTGCATTGGTGAGAGCCTTGAGCACAGGGATACCCTTTTTAAACCAATCCAGAAACTTTTCTTAAAATCCTAAAAATTTAGGTGATATGGTCTATAATGCTTAGTCTCCTTAGTTTCCCATACTTCTGGTCCTAGTTATGCATGGGTATCAAACATAGAGAAGAAGAGAGAATAGGCTCTGAAACCAACTTGTTGAATAACCAGCAACAATTCTTCACTTATTTTGATGTATTTGATACAGAAAAGTAAGCAGAAAACAGTCCAGAAGAAACAAAGTATAAGAAAGGAGGTGTGGAGAAAGAAGGAAAATCGTGGGGGTCAATTGTAACCCCATTATGCTTTATGTTAATTGATTATAATTAGGAGCAATTTACAGAATTGCCCCTGGATTGCTTCTGGATAGGTGGTGGAATCAAAAGAAATAAAAAAAGTGCATAAAAGTCGCATCAATAGAATCAACCCAATAAAGAAAAATAAAGCCTATTATAATGAAATAAAACAACCCACATAAATAGCAAGAAAACAAGAAATAGACCCATTTTTCAATAGTTATCAAGGAAATAAGATGGGACCAGAGGTTAGCAATGCATAGCCTGAACCTTAGGTTTGACAGTCAGAAAATTTGATAATTGAGCATTTTATATACTTTTTACTTTAAAAAATCATTACAACTAGGATAAAATATGATTGGACCACAAAGATGTCACTATTACTATAGAGAACTAAATGTTTTACATGTAGAGACAAAATGATTAACAGATATATACATTAGCTGTTTTTATTGTTCAAAAGCTTCTGTATTCTTTTTTGCATCTTTTTTTTTTTTGTTTTTCAAAATATAAAACACTTGCAGTCTTAAATTTGACATTTCTTTTTTGTTTTTCAAAAGAAACAATCATCTGATAAATTTTATTTTATTCTAGCATTTGTTAAATTCCAATATGGATGATGAAGTCTTATGCAGAAGAAGCTGGTGTGGATCTAATCTCCAGCCACTCATAAGCATCATTTAGTTGATTGTGCCTTTCAATGGGCATAATTTTGAATGGAACAGTATAGTACAAGTCGATTGTCTGTTACTGATATTTGTGGATAGCCTTGAGAGACAGATTTCACAATACAACTGTAAAAGAGTACAATCCATTGTCTTTATTGATAGAAGAGAGACTAAAGTATCACCAAAATATTTTCTGATGACTATGAGATAACAGATAGTCAGCCAGCTTGTGTGCCATTTAGGTCCCAAACAAAAAAGACCACTCTTTTTTCTATACCTGGAATGGAAAAAATTGCCTTGGCATAGTCGCTTTTATGGGGCCTAAAGCTATTCTCATATAAATGATTTGTGCCAATTTGAACTGCGCATCTGTGTCATGACATTTGACCCGGTCTTTTAAATGTTACTCAGGCATTTCTCTGGAAGGATATTGACCCAATTATGGTGATGCCTGCTCTAGGTCTGTGACATTTTACTATTTGATTGGCAAATTGAGGGACCAACATATCTAAGTAATGCACGTAGATGCAGATGCAGATTAAGGAATACAATGTATGCATACGGGCATCTGTAATTTCTATGTCACCTTCACATGTRGGGAATTGTACAATTACTTTTCTGAAATTATATTTGTCTATATGTAGTTTCAACGTCATCACATGCTATATTGAAGGCTCAAGTTCTCCCCTCAGAGATTATTACAGATCACTCGTGATGCACATGGGCATGTTCACGGGCCAATTCTTTACAATACACTGCCAGATCTGTTTCTGTTATCATAATTCACATGGAGTCTCTGGTAGGTCAAACAATTGATGATGGTTCTCGAATCCCCTTCTATATTGATACTCTTTCGCCTAAACTTCATCKTAATAGCGTGAATCTCCAGCACTGCCAATGCTTCTTCCATGTTGATTGAACACAAACTGACATTCTTGCAAGCATTGAACAGCACCTTACCTTCATTCTCCCCTTCAACCACTCCTATTGCTCATCGACCATTCTCTTTTCTGGACACATCAAAATTGATCTTCATCGTCTCTACTGGCGGGCTACCAAATTACTTTCTCTTTAATGCTTTATGGACTTTTGAGTCAAGCTTAATAAATGATCTGCTAGCAAACCTGTTCCCTCTTTCATTGAATGACATTGTTTATTTATTATTGGAGATTGGGGCCTTATTTGACTAGACATCAAACCAATTCTCTTGATTGTTGGTTAGATGATTATGAATCAAACTGAGAACTACAATTAGACAATGGTATCTGTCCACTTATTTTAACTTTTATTAGGGTTTTTTTTTGTTTGATAAATACTTTCACTGGGGGTGTTCATTCATATTATTATACCATTGTTTTTTTTTTTGATAAAGAGGAGATACCATTGTAATGCTTGGAAATCTCAGGCTCCCATGTCTTGCTGGTTGTCGATTCAGTGAACAGAGTTCAGATTTCTCCCAACAGAAAACCATTCCAACACGTTCCTATGTGATATGTATCTTTTACATCGCATACATGGTGGATCTCAGTCTGATAGTGAGATGTGCAAACACAGATCATATTGGAATGTGTTGGAACGATTTTTCTATTGGGAGAAGATCCCTTTTGGCTAATTGTTTTGGAGATTGATTGATGTGCATGAGTTTGTACATTTGAGTGGGTCAGAGTGAGATTGGCAGTTTGCTACCTCTCATGGCTTTTTTCATAATGGTTACGAGAATGCGATGCTCCACCATTTTGGCTACTATTGGGCTATCTCTGGTCGGGTGCTCACCTCTCAAAACTTTTTCCGATACCATCCCCAAGCTTTGTCCCACAGTTGTCTTCATCTAACGTGGGTTCATCTCTTTGGTCAGTAGAGAAAAAGCTCAACACCTCATATCATGAGTTCCAAAAGAGAAAATGTCTCTGTAACTGTATTAAATTATTGAAGAGAGGAGACAGATGTGTTGGACTACTGGAGAGGCGCCACCATTTTTGTCTAATATTGGGTCATCTCTGGTCGGCTACTCATCTCTCAAACTTTTTCCTTATACCATCCCCAAACTTTGTCCCACGGGTGTCTTCATCTAACGTGGTCTCATCTCTTTGGTCAGTAGAGAAAATGCTCAAGTGAACACCTCATATCATTAGTCCCGAAGGAGAAGATATCTCTGTAAACTCTTTTAAGCTGTTGAAGAGATAACTGTTTCCTCGTACCAACCAATGAAATGATTCCACGTTACAAGGTTAAAGTTGTTGAAGGGATAACTCTTTTAAGTTGTTCAAGTTATAGCTTATTTTGTTTGATTGCAGTACAAATAAAATGCAAAGACATGAAGCAGAATAAAGTAAAATCCAAAACAAAATAAATAACCTAGGCTATGTATGGATGGTTTCATAGGCGTTTATTGGAAAAACGCCACCACAGCATGAAACCACTGGTTGGTTTTAGCATTTATCAAATTGAACAGCCATTTGAAACTTCTCATATTGGAAAAATGCACATAAATCCGAGTCCCAAGTTCCAAATAGTGGTGGTTTCATGCACAACCATTTATCAAACTCCACCACTGTTTGGATTTAGCATTTATCAAATAAACACTAAAAATAGAAACACTTGGATTTATGTGCTTGAGCCATTGGGAGAAACTTCATATTCTGGTTTTTTCCCATACCCCACTGTTTCTTGAAATGAAATGCTTAGCTGGAGCATTGTAAGCTGAGGTGGAAGATAATTTTATGGGGGTGTGTTACTTGATACACTCATAAAACATCCAACCAAACAACAAAAACAATAAACACTTTAAACACTTAAAGTAACATTTTTCAATTAAATGTTTACTTGAGGAACACTCCATCTATAAACACCCATGGAATCAAATACATACCAAACCTTTAACAATTTACACTGATATCTGTTGCTTTGAAATTAGCTTTGGAAGGGTTTTTAATCGACTAATAATTATATAGTTAGTTTTTATTTATAGACGATAAATGAAAAGAATAACATGCATGAGGGTGCTTATATTAAGTCAAAATAACCCCAGAAAAATGCTCTGAATTAGCGTTTGATGAAAGAAGCCCAAAAAGCGTTTCCCAAACAGCCTGATTAAAACAGCCAAAAATTTTGGATTTATAACTTATTACCTTTTGGAGAAGCCTTTTTTATAAAGAAAAAGTCCATTTAGAATGTCACATCAAATGCTCAAATGTATTTATATAAGAAAGCACTTATTCAAAAAATATGCTTCTTTTTTTTTTTTTGAAAATGCCCATTTAAAAAGAAAAAAAAMAACACTCCCAATGAATTTCAAGTATTTGGGAGCAATAAGACATTGGATGTAGCCCAATCACTCCACTTATAAAAGATAAGACATCATATACATTATAAGCCACACGTTATGTTATATTGATATGATAAATAACAAATGTAGCATCAATGATAGAATCTTTGTAGGAAGGTTTTTATGATTTGGCCGACATTGGTGGTGGTAGAGGAGGTTTGAGGCCTATATTTATTGCAACAAGATGGGCTATCTTTATCCATGAAAAAGGAACTCCGGAAGTAACTTTAGGGACAGACTTGATTGTGGTAGTATATATCATATATCTATTATAACTTGTGGCTGTGGATTCAAGGTTTTTGCAGTTGATGGAAAGAGTTAAATACAAATATGTAGAGTGTACAACCTTGTATTTTGTATTATTTTGTATTGTATATATTTATATTTATACTCTTTCCAAATTGAGCCATAGTTACAAACAAAATTGGTGAAATTCTAAATTTCAGTCATTCCAGGAAGGACACTTCCTAGCTAGCACTCGCTTGTTAACGTGTAACCCATCCTCATGTCATCCTAGAGGAAAAACAGCTTTTGTTAAATCATTCTCCCCCTTTCCCCCAAACTTTTGTTAAATCAATATTTTTATATATAAAAAGTGGGTCCTTGGCCGCCCCAAAACTTGAACTATAACTTTTAAGGATCATTCTCTAATGCTCCTCCAAYTCCTCAAATTAAAAACTTTTGTTTATTTTTTCTTTAAAAAAATCCATAATAGACTCAAACCTTTTCACCCCATTTTCGTACACAGCCTATATCCTCTACTCCCACCTCATTTTCTTGTTTAACTTGTCCCCCACCCCAAGAGAAAATTCCTAACTCCGCCAGTGATAGACATAGAGGATCCACTTGGTTTAATTTCCCTCGTATATGTACAACTGTAATAGTGTTTCATATCAAATTAAGGGCTTAACCTTGAACAAGAAAAAGTCCTCCACACCAGTGGAGTGGACATCAAGGATTAGGATTGAACCTTTGAAGGGACTATGTTTCTTATTTGTTATTAAGATTCTTATTTCTTAATCTGACCAACCTTTGGTGCAATAAGTTTTCTTCTAATAAGGACATATGAATGAACGAGGACTCACAACACTCATCTAATAAGAATAAAAGTATTTGATAGGAATTTTGATGTTGCTATGCCTTGTTTTTTTTTTTTTTTTCTGAATTCAGATTTACAGCAAGCTTGAATAATAGCAAAGAAAAACAGGTAAAAAAATGCTGTTATTGGCTTAAGGAGTATTTTTCAGTCATATTTTTGATAATGGGCTTTAGTTTACTCTTAGAATGGTCAAGCAAAAGCATCTGACCTAAAAACAAGAAATGAATAATGTCAAGGTTTGTTTGTTGTCATTATTATTCCACAAGAGATTATCATTTAATGATTAATTTCAAAAGCTGTTATTATTGGTTAAGTGATTCCATCTTTAATTCAAAACACTACAAGAAAAAAAATACCTAAAATAAAATAATATTTTATTTCCTATTTCATGAATTCTAAGTAAAACCTTGTATTTTGTATTATTTTATATATATATATATATATATATTTATATATTTATATTTATACTCTTTTCAATTATAAATACAAATATATACAATATAAATATATGCAAAATAATACAAAATTTAAGATTTTACACTCTACATATTTGCATTTGTATTCCTTTCAAATTGGGCCATAATAATTCTTATAAGTAATAAAAGAGGAATAAATACTACCCAAAGTGGATGACAAAGCCAAAGCCATGTTGTCCATCTCGATTTATTTTTTTTTCAAAGATTTATTGAATATCGCAATGCACGATTTATGACAATTATGTTGCTACTAAATGCCACCCATCACACTGCTGACTGCTGGACTTTTCTCTCTCATCAACCAATAAAGCAATATTGTAATTAAAAGCATGTATGCATCAGTCTTTTTCGTCCGTCACGTGCGAACCGCGTGACCATTATCCACATTTCCCATCTCCTAAGGCAAGGCAGCATGTCCATGTGATCCTTGTTTCCTCCCAGTGGCCCGCCCACCGGCTATATATTCTATAACAATGAATGAATAATCTTTGTTCTTCTTCTTTTCCTTCAAATGCATCTAATTGACACATTTTCCTTTTCCTTTTGTTGTGTCCCAACTCTCAACTCAACTCTCCTCTCCTCAGCCCACAATCTGTCGCTGGAAAGGAAATCAAATAACTAATTAAGTACAACCCAGGTGATGTCAAAGGACTGTTTTTATTTTTAAAGACCCATAACCCATATGTTTGTATCGTGTTGGAATTACAGCTCTTGACTTGAGTCTTGTCAATCAAAAACCCAACTGTCTTTCTCCCTTTTCCATTCAAACTGCCGGCCGGCTTCTAAATCCAAACAATATTCATCAAGCTTGCCGACTTGTTCAACTAATTCATAATTCCGGGACGGCTCAGTTGGTTACACTAATTAATAAGACACGACAAGCTTGCCGACTTATTAAACTAATAATTCCTCAATGCAAAACTTTATATGCCGTATTTAAGCCTCAATTTGCATTTGCACTCCTCCCAAACTGAGATGAAATTCTCCTATGCTTCCGTTCGTTAAACTAATAATGACAAGTTTGCCCATTTATTGGACTAATAATTAATTCCTCCAGAAATACAAAATACAAAATTGTGTACAAATTAAGAGTATAGATTTTAGTAAATAAATGAAACTGAAACTATAAGCCATGTCAAGATCAATTATCCTTTTAATTAGTCTCTCTTTCAATTGGAAAAATCTAGTTATGATGCCGGAAAAACATAATGTCAAAAGGGATTTGATCGATCAATCAAAACTCTTCATTTTTGATAAAAAAAAAAGAAAAAATCACACGAATGATATTATT